TTGTTTTTGTTGTCATAAGAGAGTAAGTAAGTGACTGTTTTGAATTGTTTAGTAAAGTCATAGATATAGTAGAGCTATGTTTTTTGTTGTGATTCAAAAAAATAACTTTATTCATCTGTGACGCTGATGTATCAACTTTGTTGCCTATGTTGTCAACACTAAGAGGACAAACAAACTATAAGTTTTAAACTGAAGCACGCTACTGTCTAAACAGTTTTCTTAATTTGATTATTCTGGTAGTCTTCTGTTTTTTTGTTGACATGTTTTTACTGCAATTGGTTGTATCTATTTTCTTCTTGTTGAGTGTCAGTGAAGTTATTAGTCAATGTCCACTTTCCTCAGGTAAGACACTGGATGTGTATAATAACAACTGTATAGGTTTTTATAGGTATATACCTGAGGCATAAAGAAAACTGTTATACTAATGGATCATATTTTTTTGATGCTGATATTAAAGAAGCCAGTAACAGTATCATGTGTGTGTTACCTGGTTCTACTCTGAATGGTGGAAAGTGGGTTACTCCTAGTGGATCATCAGTTAACTGCAGTACTGATCCTCTTCATTGTAATGAAGTATCTTCACCTAATGCTACTATCAGTCTTTACATACCTATTGGACAAAGCTTATTACCATCTGATGATGGCTGGTACAAGTGTTGTCTACCCACTGATTGTTCAGATCCTAACACTAACATCATCTTTGCTAATATATTCAGTAAGTGTTCTCATTAAACTAGTACACACTGTCACTTTGTTACTGATTTACTGTAGGATGGGCACAGATTGAACCCATCACAGTTGACCTTCCTTCAGATATAACAGTTCTACCTCAAACATATACACTACATGCCATTAAAATTGGTAGTGATGATCACAGTGCTTTTTTACATGCTGCCAATTGGTACTATGAGTCTGGTAGTGCCAGTACTGAACTCTGTAATGGAAACAGAGTTACTGAATATAGTTGTAACTTCATGTATGGTGATGGAATGTCAGTAGATTATGGTAATGGAAGGTGGGACTATACTCTAAATGTTACATGGAATGGAGAGAATATTACTAGTGGAGTACTGAGTCAATCAAACAACAATGGAGATCATGTATTTAGATTCAATTTGTTTTTTGGTCATTACAGTAGCAACCCAGTAGCAAGAAATAAAGACATTTTTGTAACAGGTAACTTGGACATATTGCACATTTATACACAATACATGAATATGTACGCAAACTTAACATTGGATACATGATGTAATGTCTGACTGGTAACTAGCAATAAAACGACTTCATTATTTTTATAGCACCAGCAACTGCTCCCTCTTCTCTTACTGAGGTCAACAAGACAGCTACCACTATCACTGTCAGTTGGACTACACTTGATTCATCTGATGCTGATGGATATGTAGTCAATGTCACTAGTGACACAGACACTGTGCAGACAATACAGGTGGAGGGAAGTAGTAATAATACAATCACACTGAATGGACTGAGAGGAGGAACAACTTATAGCATCACAGTCAGAGCCTATCAACAATTACTGGGACCTGCTAGTACAATCAGTGTACAGACCTTACCAGGTATTGCTACTGCACCTGTAATGTACTTGTAACATTGTTGATATATTTCTAGTTATTAATTCAATCAATTGGACACTAGTCTCATCCATTACACAACTCAATAACACTCAATATCGTATTGATTGTCTCACAACTACTGATATAAATCCTTCAACTGATGTCTACTGGTTAGTGAATGGAGTGATGAAGAGTAACTCAATGTATACATCAATTGATGTCCTCACATACAACAACACACTACTGGTATATCCTGATCCACTGGGAGTATCAGTTAATGTTACCTGTATAGCAATGATTGGAGGAGTCAACTACAGTCAATCTGTGATATTACATGGTATGATTATACTTTAATCAATAGTAGATACCTTTGTCTCTTTTCTAGCTCCTAGTGGTCCTCCAAATAATGTGAGAGGGTTTATATTAAATGCTACTAGTATCAAAGTGAACTGGACCAATTCATCAGAGACTAATGGATATGTGATTGAGTATACTACTGGAGGTGAAACCAGGAATGTAGTATCTACCAGTGAAGATGAAATTGTACTAACAGATCTCTCAGCAATGAGTACCTATACCATCAGTGTGTACTCATATATAGATCTTCCTTCAGTTAATAGTACAGTAACAGTGTTAAGATTTGATGGTGAGTTATTATGATTGAGAGAGTGTAATTGATATGTGTTGTAGTTCCTAGTCCAGTAACTAGTCTCTTAGTATCTAAT